GACAGGAGATGAGCAACTGCCTCAATGTCTCATTGAGCAGTAGGAGATCGCGCTGACTTTTGTATTTTTCACACGGCCACGCGACAATCAATTTAAATTAAATATTGAGCTAAATTTGGGGTGGTGATATGACCGAGCGCAGAGGTCCGCGGTTCTAACCCGGCAGGCCACCCTGGCCATTGTTGCGGTGCGCTGTCCACAGCCGGTGTCAACGATCCTCATGATGTCGTTCTCAATGAGGAGGGCATCGCGTGCCGGCATCGTGTGAATAGCGCGGGGTTCAAAATGTACTGAATCAACAGAATTGTTTGTTCTCAAAAGAAATTGCGGGTTTTAAATGGGTGGCTTGTGTGTAGATATATTTAAGTCTGCCTTGAAAACCCATCTCTTTAAATGGCCTTCCCTCTCCAGTTTGTTCGGCTGCCCTTGATTCTGTTTTTGTTTCCTGCTTTTCATGCACTGCGCATCGAGATCCTAGGATGGAATGCGCATTATACGTTGGAATTATTATTATTCCAGATTTTTCGGACGTGGTATCCCGCTGCGGTACGAAGCGTGTGGCGTGCACAGCAACGTTGATTTTTAATGACTCACACTGGAGGAACGGCGGGGGGGGGGGGGGGTGACCTCTGCCTGCAGTATCCGGCAGGTAGAAATTATGCCTCGGCAGTAACTGTGACAAAATCAATCGCCGACGTTGTCACCGGCAGCGGCTGCCACCTTTTGGACTTGTCACACTCAAGAGCGCCGGGCCAAGGGGCTTCCCGGAGCAGGCTGACAGACGAGGTGACATTGACCAGTAAAATGCCCATTGCCCGGAGGCCACGGGTAAACAGTGTCTGGTTATATAGTGCACGGCCCTGGCACAGCAGCAGCAGCAGTAGCAGCTGTATGGGGTTGCAGGCGGCAGATCCCTTTTGTTCAGCTCCACTTAACGATGTCAGATTTTCCACGGCACCGGATTTGCCTCTCCGTCTTCACACTGCATTGGGGGGAATTTATTGGGGAAGAAGTTTACGCCTTTTAATTTTGAAGCGACTGGTTCTTGACGGTGTTTACTTCAGGTGTGTTCTGGACGATGCATCGCTTTATGTCCCTGCTCAGTGGATGAAACCCTTCTTTGCTTTGTTCGTTTTTTTTGGTCATTCTCGATGAGTTTTTGTTGTTGCATTTTTTTAAATTGTTTGGTTTTTTGCTGATGTAATCCCATGCAGGGGCTGAGTGGGGGGCTGAGTGGGGGGCTGAGTGGGGGGCTGAGTGGGGGGTTAGGGGGGGCTGAGTGGAAATTTGGTTGGGCCGAGTGGGGGGTTGGGGGGCCTAGTGGGGGGTTGGGGGACTGAGTGGGGGTTTGGGGGTGCTGAGTGGGGGGGCTGAGTGTGGGGTTGGGGGGGCTGAGTGGGGGTTGGGGGTTTCTCAAGGCACCCAAGTTTTGTTCCCGCGTGAAGCCAAACTCGCAATCAAGAGAACTGGCCAAGCGTCCCAGTGCTTCAGGACCCTCCTAAAAATCTGTCCTGAGACTCGGCGAGGGTTTCATGGGAAGTAATTTGCCTTCTTCTTACTACGATTGTCATCAACAGAAAATAATAATTTGGCGTCATCACGACGGCGGGAGGCAGCTTCTAAGCCCCTTGATCTCCGTGCCAAGGGATCTGGGTCAAGCATGTTGAGTGTGTGTCATTAAGAATTGCTCTGCGCGTGTCATTAGCACCTCCGATTAACATGGTTGGCTCAGTACGGTGTGAAAGAAGTTCAGCATACATACACACACGCACGTACAGACACTCGGCACCTGGGGCACCCTTGCGGATCTCAAGGGACGTTCCGGTGAGAAATACTTGAATCGATAAAACAAATGTAGAATAAAAATGAATAGCTAGACCGCAACAGAAGTATCGACACTTCTCAAATCCCTCCGCTGCTCTCTAGTGGCAGCGCTGTTCAAGGGCAGATCTAAACATTCACAGGGAATAGGAGGTTTCAAGACGCCTTGATAGAGAACGTGCCAAATGTATGACGGTATAACATCTTAAGTGTAAATTACGCGAGAAAATCAGGATGGATTATGTGTAATATTGAGTTATGTGGTATTGTGTAATGCAGTGTTATGTAACGTTCGATTTGTTCATTAAAACAAGTTTGACCGAATTCACGAGCGTGAGCTCTATTGGGTGGATCTAGGTTAGCCCCGGGGCTGCGCTGAAGCCCTTTGAGCTGCGGGAGAGGCCCTCGCTTTCACGCAACGAGGGGCTGGCAGGTGGCCCAGCGGCAACACTCGCGCCTCACGGCAAGGATTCCCTGGGTTCGATTCCCCACACTGGTGCCTTTCTGTGCGGAGTATCACACGTTCTCTCTCCCCCTGCCTGTTTTTTAGTGGGTTTCCTCCCGCAGCCAGATGCCGTGCGCACGCTGTAAACCGGTGCTGACGAGTTACCTGCAAATCACTCGGTTGGGGGCAATGCATAGCGGCAGCGTCGCCGCCTCCTTAGAAAACGTGGCAGGACCCTCGTGACGAGGAGTCTTGAGACTCGGTGAGGGGTTCCCTGGGTAAACGAGGCAAGTCATCATCATAATAAGAAAGTAAACTTTTCATCTGGATTTTTTTAGAGTGATATTGTATCATGAACCAATTTTGACATGGCCTAAAGTGCGGGTTAAGGAATGTTTAGGAAAATATAATGTACGGCGTGGGTGCTTTTGGTGCATTGTCTGATTTGTCACGATGCTTTAAAATCGGTTTTTCTGCACCGTTTTGCATGTAATGTTTTCTTGCAATCGGGGCAACCTCGATTCCATTTTAGTTTTACCATTTGAGGCCATTTAAAAAAAAAAATTCGCCTAGATATCAGTAAAACGTCGATTGTTTAAGAAATTGATGTAAACCAATGTACATCGGGAACCAGTTGATAGGCACCAACTCAAAACGTAAAACTCTCGACTCACTTTTTTTCACCAGACGTGGGGGAACATTTCGATTGACAAAAAAAGAAAAAACCCTGGTGACATAACCACCGTGTTGTTTTGGTCAGAGCAGGGGGGCACACAGTTAGAAGGGGGGCCGCGTGGGCGTTTCAACGCTGCGATCGCCGCCCGCGAGCGTCGAGACGCCACGGAGACGCGTCGCTAGATCCCGCCGCCGCTCCCTTGAAGATTGGAGGTGTGCGCTCCCACGGTTATCATCATCATCATCGGCGGCGTGGCGGCAATGCCCGCGATTACAGGGTAATGAGAGAACGTGCGGAGCGGCATCGCACGTCCTCCTGCTGACCCGCCGAGACGGGACGGGGGGGGGGGGCGCTCGCTGCACGTTGCCCGGTTGTCAACCTCGGGGTGGCGGCAATGTCCCATGGAGGCCCTGAAATATATATTGCGCAATACAAGCGGAAATCTGACATTCGTGTCCCCTACAGAGGTAAATTAAATTGAGCCTCACTCGCAGCGTGGACGTGCGGCTGTAAAGCTCGTGCGTCGAGCACTGGCGCGAAAAGGAGCAGCTGCTCTTGTGAGTTATGGCTCCCCCCCCCCCGTCTTTGTGCGTGTCAGCAGAAAACGGCAATAAGGCCGATCTCTCATTTTATACCGAGCCTACAACGAGTCAAAGTGATTTCATGCACAAACGAACATTCACACGCCGCGCTCATCTCTGCTCCTCCTAGTCCCTGAGCCAGCGGTGGTAATTCCACATTCCTACAGCAGGGGCGAGTCTGCCCCACAAAGTGGTCCCTGTTTTATCGACCCCGGAGGGATGATGCGTTGAATCAATCCCCAAACCCTGGGTTATACCATAGGCTAGGCTATACCAATTGGTCGACAGAAACTACAAGGCACGTTCGTGTCCCTGGTACCCAGCACAAATCAGTTTCCCTCCCCCCTTACAGTTACAATGGAAGACTTTTTGCACGAGTCATCATCGTGAACAGCCGTGGTCAATCCACTGGCGGTGTGAAGGCAAGCCGCCGTCGCCTCTCACAATGTCACAAAGTGACGGTCCACCCACAGCTCCCTGCACGCAGATCGAATCTGTTTCACGCCGTCCGAATGGAACAGCCGCACGAAAGATCACCCGGAGAAAGTAGGGCGTCACGCGAGTGCTGTACGACGAGTCCCACTTTCATTGCAGAGAAGTCGACAGCAGAAATCGGCCGCCGTCGTCTTTGAATCCAAGGCCACGCCGGCTCGCGGGCACCGGTGGAGCCGTGCCGCATCGTTCGCTTGAGCCGGGGGGGGGGCGGGGGGGCGAAGGGGGTTTGCCGTTAGTGAGAACTCGGCGGCTGGCTCAGCGGTAGCACGGCCAGCGACCGTCCCGGCCGCATTGGCCATTGGCAGTGCCGCACGCGCTGCGTTTGTAAATGTTTCCAAGTGGAACGAGTCATGACGCCGGAGCCGGACGTACAATTGTGTTACGCTCGCGATGAGCCCGAGAATGCGTCGTTTCCCGGTCGTTTCTCGCCGCAATCGATTAGCACGACTTGCGCAGCCCCCTGCCAGAGACGCTGCTTTTCACTACGGGGATGAGGCAAGAATGGATCCTCGAATAAAACCACCGCCGGCGCCGTCACCAGTTGCTGCGATCCACCTAGTGATGTGCGTGAAAAAATAAATTCGTGAATTTTGAGCGTGTCAAAGACAATCGACTCTTAACAAGTAGGTTGTTGCAGCCAATATTAAGATTTATCATTTTATTCTGATTTTTCTTCTCAAGAGACTTGGCGCAGTTTCGAGTGAAACGGCGCATATCCAATTGCTTAATTTGTTGCTGAGAGTTGTTGATTAACTTGCCGGTGAGCTGAAACAAAAACATTCGCTGCCTTAAATGTTTTGTACGTGAAATGTTTTGTACATTAAATGTTTGTACACTGCATGACAATTGAATTCACTTGGCTGTGTCAAGTGGTGGGGGAGGGTCCTTCAACACGGATTTGGCCAGATCATCACGTGCCCTAACCCAGCAATGAACAGCGGATTGTAATTGCATCTCTTAATTGTGGCGCGTGGGTTTTCAGGTTGACTCGCGTTCTGCACGGAGGTCGTTGCTGCCTCACGCTGATGGATCGGTCGAACGGCGCCAATCAATAGAAGAAAAATCAAGGCGTCGGGCGGAAGAAACTACACCCCACCTACGCCCCACCGGAGACGATTTGATAAACACCCCCACCTTTGTGGACATGATATTGGCATCATCATTCGTATCTAGATCAGTGTGAGCCCCCCGCGTGAGCCCCCCGCGTGAGCCCCCCGCGTGAGCCCCCCGCGTGAGCCCCCCGCGTGAGCCCCCCGCGTGAGCCCCCCGCGTGAGCCCCCCGCGTGAGCCCCCCGCGTGAGCCCCCCGCGTGAGCCCCCCGTTCCCATCGCGAGCGGTGGCATCGCCGCCGTCGTCACACAGCGGCAGGCAGGATGCGCGCGTGGCCCCCGTCGTGGCGATGGATCATGCTGATCCTGTTGGCGTGGGGCTCCCTGCTCGTCTACATGGGCGGCCACCTCATCAGAGACCCCGAGATGGGCGAGCACTCGAGCCGAGAACTTTCCAAGATCATGGCCAAGCTGGAACGGCTCAAACAGCAGAATGATGATCTGCGGCAGATGGCCGAAGCCCTGCGGTGAGCGGCCTCCCCCCCCCCCCCCAAACCTCTCCCATCGCGCGTTGCTCGGCCGTTGCTCGCATGCGCGCAGGGGAAATACGCGGGCTCAAGCCTGCTTAGCTTGCGGGGCTTGGCGAGAGAGAGCAACTCATCCACAAATAAAAAACGATGCTTTGGAGGCATAACAACCAACTTCAATTGTACACTTTAAATGCGCAGTCTGCATGGCAAAAGTTCCTGGAGTCGAAACTTTCCGTAAACATGCGTCCCCCAGGTTTACACATCCAGGCTTCGAACGGAAGCCCGCATGTGTCGTGCGGATGGCAGTCAATCGCAAATCATGAGTGCGGTTTAAAGATTGTGCCAGCGTCATGAGACCTCAACCACACTCACGTCGCTGACAGCATCATCGTCTGCCCTTTCTCATTATCAGTCACCTCTCAGTCTTCGCTTCCACCACCTACTACCTTGTAAATCGCTTCGATTCACGTCGTTTCGATATTCGTCATCGCACCTTTCAGCGTAAACCGGGGGGTATTACTCTACTAAGATATGTACGTATGTTGAACTTCTTTCGCACTGATAATTGTGCACCTTTTGGCGTCATCTGGTCCAACACGATGTGAGACTAGGCTCTAAGTAAACTCGTCTCGGGTGTGGACCATACATTATCAGAGTTATGTTTTTTGTTTGCATTATGACTGCAGGTATTGTGGTCTATGCAAACATGACTCCTCGTAAAAAAGGTGTCAGTTTTGTTGCCAGATAAAAGGGTAAAAAAACTATTATCATATGTTTTTACTGGCAAATGAGGTACCAATGGTGTTCTTTCGCACTGTACGTAGCCGGCCGTGCTCATTGGAGGTGTGGGAATAAAATATAACCACGGCAGGATTTGGACCTGCAATCCTCCGATCCGAAGTCAAAGACGCCTTCTCCATTAGGCCACGCGGCCGCAGTCGAAAGTTTTGATATCCATTGCTTTGGTAACTTTAGCCACGCAGTTGACTCGTGCAAACGTGACCGTCCTTGCTTCTTGAGGTTCCCGCCTGGTTCTTCAGACTTGTTGATGAACGCAATTCCGGGCACGGTGCGTGATGCGTGCCCTCCGCCGCGCCTTGCGTGCAGGGTGTCCGAGCAGCAGGGAGAGCCGGTTGTGCCGTCCAGTCCCCAGAGAGTCAAGGGCCTCGAGGAGCGCCTTGCACAAGCCCAGATGGAGCTCAGCTTCTACAAAGAGAAATACCAGCAAGGTAACGGCCCCATCTAACAAGCTGATTAATCTTATCCTAACGGAAATTCTATAACGCCTTAACCAACGCGAATTTACAAAGAATTAACGACGGTACGACGCGTGTGAAGGTAACGGTGGAGTTGAGGTGAATGAAATAGATGAGAGGAAGCAATAGGCAAATCGGGGATGCAAGAATTCCGTGAAAGCGAAATTGATGACCGTGAATGATGATGAATGGATTCAATGAATGGGGAATAAGTGTTAGCCACAGGGTGGTGGTGGTTATGAGGGGGAGATTAAGGGGGGGACGTGGGGTGAGCTTGGGGACAAGAAGTGAGTTTTGGGTGAGGAGCGGAGACTCGTGAGCGAAGGTGACCGCTTAATGTGGAGGGGGAAGTTTGTTCTAGTGAAGGGGGAGGGCGAGAAGAGAGAGGAGAGCGACAGCGTGGATTGAGCACAAGGTGAAGGAGGAATGAATAAACAGACCACACACCCTCCACATGGATAAGAAGTTTTTTTTACTACACATCCACTCAGCCGACACGGGCCCCTCTTGGCGGAGTGCGGGTAATAGAATTAAATGTTACGCGAAATATCTGTCGTGTGTCACTCTGTGCAGACAGCAAGGGGCGGCAATTGCAGCGAAAGCGTTTATGATGAAAATATTGTGAGAGGTTGGAGACTATAACGTGGTCTTCTTGAGTTTGTATGCATTTTTTTCTACCCGTTGTAGTCGATGTCTTACAAAAAAAGATACAGCTAAACGCTAATTGTTCAATACTAGGACACATGTTTAGTAAAACTTAATTAGCGCAAGAACTATTAGAGTTGTTACAAGGGCATTAAGGGCTCATTACTACGTTCCCCGCCGGCGTATGACGCACTGCGTGTGCGTCTCGAACGAGCGAGCGCAAATTTGAGTTTAGGCACTGCCGTTATATGGAAGAATTACTACAATAAATAATGTAGAGAACAATGGCGTCTGGAGTAAAATGATTCTCTCTCGTCATATAACATCGCTCCAGCTATGCATATTTGGCACGTGGAATGGAGAGTTTGGTGAGTTTCTCTGTGTAACAAGTGTGCAGGACCACTGATGAATTGTCACCAATATTACAGTCTTGTAGCTCCTCCCCCTGTCACGTAGCTCCACCCCCTGTCCTGTAGCTCCACCCCCTGTCCTGTAGCTCCACCCCCTGTCCTGTAGCTCCACCCCTTGTCATGTAGCTCCACCCCCTGTCCGGTAGCTCCACCCCTGTCCTGTAGCTCCACCCCCTGTCCTGTAGCTCCACCCCCTGTCTTCTAGCTCCTCCCCTTGTCCTCTAGCTCCACCCCCTGTCCTGTAGCTCCACCCCCTGTCCCGCAGCTCCACCCCCTGTCCCGTAGCTCCACCCCCTGTCCTGTAGCTCCACCCCCTGTTCTGTAGCTCCACCCCCTGTCCTGTAGCTCCACCCCCTGTCCCGCAGCTCCACCCTCTGTCATGTAGCTCCACCCCCTGTCCCGCAGCTCCACCCCCTGTCCCGCAGCTCCACCCCCTGTCCCGTAGCTCCACCCCCTGTCCTGTAGCTCCACCCCCTGTCCCGCAGCTCCACCCCCTGTCCCGCAGCTCCACCCCCTGTCCCGTAGCTCCACCCCCCTGTCCTGTAGCTCCACCCCCTGTCCCGTAGCTCCACCCCCTGTCCCGCAGCTCCACCCCCTGTCCCGCAGCTCCACCCCCTGTCCCGCAGCTCCACCTCCTGTCCCGCAGCCCCACCCCCTGTCCCGTAGCTCCACCCCTGTCCCGTAGCTCTACCCCCTGTCCCGCAGCTCCACCCCCTGTCCTGTAGCTCCACCCCCTGTCCCGTAGCTCCACCCCCTGTCCCGTAGCTCCACCCCCTGTCCCGTAGCTCCACCCCCTGTCCCGCAGCTCCACCCCCTGTCCCGTAGCTCCACCCCCTGTCCCGTAGCTCCACCCCCTGTCCCGCAGCTCCACCCCCTGTCCCGCAGCTCCACCCCCTGTCCCGCAGCTCCACCCCCTGTCCCGTAGCTCCACCCCCTGTCCCGCAGCTCCACCCCCTGTCCCGTAGCTCCACCCCCTGTCCCGCAGCTCACCCCCTGTCCCGTAGCTCCACCCCCTGTCCCGTAGCTCCACCCCCTGTCCTGTAGCTCCACCCCCTGTCCCGCAGCTCCACCCTCTGTCATGTAGCTCCACCCCCTGTCCCGTAGCTCCACCCCCTGTCCTGTAGCTCCACCCCTGTCCTGTAGCTCCACCCCCTGTCCTGTAGCTCCACCCCCTGTCCTGTAGCTCCACCCCCTGTCCCGTAGCTCCACCCCCTGTCATGTAGCTCCATCCCTGTCCGGTAGCTCCACCCCCTGTCCTGTAGCTCCATCCCCTGTCCTGTAGCTCCATCCCCTGTCCGGTAGCTCCACCCCCTGTCCCGTAGCTCCACCCCCTGTCCCGTAGCTCCACCCCCTGTCCCGTAGCTCCACCCCCTGTCCCGTAGCTCCACCCCCTGTCCTGTAGCTCCACCCCCTGTCCCGCAGCTCCACCCCCTGTCTTGTAGCTCCACCCCCTGTCCCGTAGCTCCACCCCCTGTCCCGTAGCCCCACCCCCTGTCCTGTAGCTCCACCCCCTGTCCTGTAGCTCCACCCCCTGTCCTGTAGCTCCACCCCCTGTCCCGTAGCTCCTCCTTCTGTCCCGTAGCTCCTCCCCCTGTCCCGTAGCTCCACCCCCTGTCCCGTAGCTCCACCCCCTGTCCTGTAGCTCCACCCCCTGTCCCGCAGCTCCACCCTCTGTCATGTAGCTCCACCCCCTGTCCCGTAGCTCCACCCCCTGTCCTGTAGCTCCACCCCCTGTCCTGTAGCTCCACCCCCTGTCCTGTAGCTCCATCCCCTGTCCGGTAGCTCCACCCCCTGTCCCGTAGCTCCACCCCCTGTCCCGTAGCTCCACCCCCTGTCCCGTAGCTCCACCCCCTGTCCCGTAGCTCCACCCCCTGTCCTGTAGCTCCACCCCCTGTCCCGCAGCTCCACCCCCTGTCTTGTAGCTCCACCCCCTGTCCCGTAGCTCCACCCCCTGTCCCGTAGCCCCACCCCCTGTCCTGTAGCTCCACCCCCTGTCATGTAGCTCCATCCCCTGTCCGGTAGCTCCACCCCCTGTCCTGTAGCTCCATCCCCTGTCCTGTAGCTCCATCCCCTGTCCGGTAGCTCCACCCCCTGTCCCGTAGCTCCACCCCCTGTCCCGTAGCTCCACCCCCTGTCCCGTAGCTCCACCCCCTGTCCCGTAGCTCCACCCCCTGTCCTGTAGCTCCACCCCCTGTCCCGCAGCTCCACCCCCTGTCTTGTAGCTCCACCCCCTGTCCCGTAGCTCCACCCCCTGTCCCGTAGCCCCACCCCCTGTCCTGTAGCTCCACCCCCTGTCCTGTAGCTCCACCCCCTGTCCTGTAGCTCCACCCCCTGTCCCGTAGCTCCTCCTTCTGTCCCGTAGCTCCTCCCCCTGTCCCGTAGCTCCACCCCCTGTCCCGTAGCTCCACCCCCTGTCCCGTAGCTCCACTCCCTGTCCCGTAGCTCCACCCCCTGTCTTCTAGCTCCACCCCCTGTCTTCTAGCTCCACCCTCTACTGTGTAGCTCCGCCCCACTGGTAATCCTCGGCAGCTGATATAAAAAGCCCCAATACTACATACAGAAAAGCGCTTCACTGTGAACTTCCCTATTGACTTTGGGAAGTTAGAGCATAGAGTCAAAACAAGTGCAGCTGGCAGCACGAATCTTAATGCCGCAGATGCTGCCGCTGGCTAAATAGTTTATAAAGACTCGCTTTCCCTTCTGGATGATATTTCGTACGCTTTGTTCGTTGGCAGAAAATGCAAAACAGGCGTCGGAGGTCGGCCCCGCCGTGAGCGCCGTGGCCGCGGCCGCGAGGATCCCTGCCGGCCCCGGGACGGACCATGAGCTGCTGCGGAGGAAGGTTGAGAACGGCATCAAGGAATTCTGGTTCTTCGTGCGCAGCGAGCTGAAGAAGATGCAGCACGACGCCGGCGATCACTCCAAGGAGAAGATAACCATGATGCTGCAGGACATGGGTCATCAACAGAGGTCCCCAACCCCCACAGCTGCCACTTCGCAAAGTCGTCGCGCTGCATTCACTGAAAGTTGCTCGAGTTCACTGAAAATAATACAAAAATATTATTTATTATTATACGGCTCGTTTAGCTGGGAAAGTCTCACTGAATCTCAAGACTCTTTTTTAGGAGGGTCCTGCCAATTTTTTGCATTACGCGGCGATGTTGCTACTGCTGTGTTTGGCCAATGCCAGTTTACATTGTGTGATTTTAGCTGCGGGAGGAAAGCATAGAGGAATACAGAACACGGGGAGAACATTTAAACTCCACATATTAAGGCGCCCGAGTCGGGAATCGAACCCAGGACTTTCTTGTTGTGAGGCACGAGTGTTACCCGCTGTGCCACCCACCCCAACCGCCCACCCCAACCGCCCACATAAAGAAGGGGGAATCCAAACAACCCTCATGCACTATCCGTCGTTCTCACTGCGTGCATGCCCGTCGGTGCTTGTGCGCCCAGGTCGATCATGACGGACCTGTTGAAGCTGAGCGAGGCGGACGGGGCGGCCGAGTGGAGGGCCCGGGAGGCCAAGGACCTCTCCGACCTGGTGCAGCAGAGGTTCCACTTCCTGCAGGCGGGTGCAGACGCGCGTCGCACTCACAGCGCCAGCCCTTCCGCCATCGGGTCACCTCTGACGTGGCTTTTATAATCCGCACCTCGGATTCGCACGGTTGGCGACGTACAGCGCGAAAGAAGTTCTAACATACATGCGTACATAATCCATCCGTTCTCACCTTTCACTGGGCTTCATCATCATTGTCGTCGTTGTCAGCTATGATCAATCCCGTGATAGATTACGACCTTCGCAAGCCGCGACCTTCTCATGTAACAATCCATCCAGCGACAGACCACAGGGTGGGAACCACTGCGCCCGAGGTGTTAGGGTTTGTGCTGTTTACTTCGTGACAATTCACGTTTTTTTAATATCCTAAGCGTCATTTATTCATGTTCAGAGACCCAAGATCAAACTATAACTGCTTCCCCAGTATTACGAAGAAGAAAATATTCAAATAGTATTTGCTAAGACTTGGAACTCAAATCAGTAAATTTACGAGAAAACCCATCGCCAACAGAAGACGTAGCACAGGCCCAGACAACAGATTTAATAACGCACAGAGATGCATTGCTTTTAAATAACCATTCGGCCAGCTCAAAAAAACTGCATGTGCGGTGGTGACACATGCAGGTCGGGAGGTGGTGACGCACGCCTGTGCTCCAGCACCATGGAGGCAGCTAGGGTATCACTCCGCGTATTGTATCACTCTACCGCTCAGTTGTGCAGCTTAAGAAACGAGGTCGTCATCGACCGCTCGAAAACCGCATTATAATGGTACACTTTTGACGCTATAACGGTGCACTTTCCACACTATAGCGGTGCGCGTTTTACATTGTGCGATAAGTTGGTCACGAATGGAAGAACTGCGCTTTAGTGCAAATGCATTGTAGCGTGAACACCGCGCGTGAAGCGACGACTTGCCGTACTTTCAAACCATGCTTTGGGGGGTTTCCACCAATCTAGGCAAACGGGAGATGTTGCAAGACAGGGCCGCACCTCTCCTGTCCTGAATCCACACGGCTTGTTTTTTATTATTATTGATATTCTTTTACTCTTTAAACATCAGTGGAGGTGCTGCAACGTTTTGCTCGCATCACTGCTGGCGGAAAGGCCTCCTCTAGGGGGCCTCTCGAGTGGGTATTTGGCCTAATCTTCCACGCCAGCCAGACATTACGTTACGGTGCTGTATGTCTCCCGAGCCGCACGCTCTCTCAAGTTGCGCTCTGATCTCCTCCACACTCGTATCTAAAATATTCTTTAACGAGCTTTACTACCCGGCTTCGCCCGGGACTTAGATTCACCACGCCTGGCCGCCTTTGTCCCCCCAGTGGCGATTTTTACACACCACACCAGTTACTCGTTTGAGGCTAGGGGAGGCCCAGAACGCCTTAGACCTGCAACACATTTGTATTTCACTTTACCCGCGATCAGCAGGAACACTCCGTTACGCTTCCGCACACGGGTCACATGACAGATGTGACGTCACAGCTCACTTGCCATGCAAAAAATATATGCATCATTGAGCTCCCCCCCCCACAAAAGGTGTATTTTTATAATTGTTGCATGGTGTACAGTCTGGAAAGTACCCACATGGCAAATTTCAAGTTTGTTGCATGTCGGGAAGTACGCTAAACATTTTGAACAGACGCACATAATCACAAATTTCCCTTTTATATATATGGAGATAAGCTCGATATTCCCAGCATCAGCTTCAAAAGGAATGTTCCTTCTCCCGTTATGCTACTGTACCGTATGCTGTCAGTGCACTGCCACTTGTATCAGTAGTTTATATTACGGCACTATTTGGATTACAAAGCGCCTAAACGTGATTCGCGGCAAGATGCTGGACACAAAAAACGGCGGGCATATTTGTTTTTTAACCATGCTGCCCTGCCTCGGACCACTTCTAAGATGCATAGAGCAGTGTCCGTGGTCAGGAGGCATATATTTCCCACGGTAACATATCACCGCGTCGGCTCGCATGAACGCCAATTTCCTTCCAAGGACATTACCGCTGAACCAAGGCCAGCCCTCGTTGCTGAACTGATTGCATATGTTTACGACCAATCATCACGTCCGTCCGTGGGGGGCTCTCTTTCTCCCCACGAGGACTGAGCTCCGACACCGGAGCCGTTGTGAAGTGTAATCACGAGTGTGCGATAATTACGTGCCTCATTCTGTCCCCAACCCTAATTGGCGTGTTTGCAGTTGAGCACGTGCCTCTCATCAGGGCCTCTCCTTGCTGCGAAGGGTATATTTTGGTATTGGTTTAGACTGAGGGTGCTATATTTCATTTCACGAAGGGTTAAACACGTTAAAGAATGTTTCAAGCGGTAATAAGTCAATAATTATAAACCAACGAATTTGTTGTACCCACGTAGGATTGCGCTGTATTCCCGTAGGGTTGCGCTGTGCTCACCGGCGATGTGCGTTGATGCTGTCGGGGAATAAAATAAACCACGAACACAAATGGGAAGGATTGCACGTGAGAGAGAAGAGGAGAGGGGGGGCGAGGAGAGGGGACGGGGCCCTCCCGCCGTGCCAGTGCTTGCACTTCAGGTCACGTGCTCTAGGAGGCGCTGGAGGTTGCACATCTATCTATATATAAAAAGGGAAATTTGTGAATGTGTGTGTCTGTTCAAAATGTTTAGCGTACTTCCCGACATGCAACAAACTTGAAATTTGCCATGTGGGTACTTTCCAGACTGTACACCATGCAAAATGTAAAAAAATAACTTTGGTATTTTTTTTGGGAGGGGGGGGGGCGCAATAATGCATATTTTTTGCACGGCAAGTGAGCGGTGATGTCACATCTGTGATGTCACCCGCATGCGGCAGCGTTGCGCAGTGTGCCTGCTGACGTCACGCATCCCGCCCACCACCCTCTGCGTAGGCCGTGTATCCCGCACAAATGCACGGCTGGGGGGGGGGGGGGAATAATGCGAAGAATGGGTACACCTGCTAGTCTAGAATAAAGTTTAACCATATTCTTTGGGTCTTTCGGTAAAGTCGCGTAGATAGGTTAAAAGAAAATAACAAAAAACTACAACGTTTATTGGTGGAAGCCCACCACCAGCGCCGTCATTGCCCTCTACGAGTACCATCACTTACATTAGCTGCCCTGCCCATGCTGATGACACTTGGGCTGCGCCCATGTCAAACCTTGGAAAACAGTTTGCCTTGAGGCTAACCCCCTTTTCCTGATAACGACCGCTTGTGTTGCGATCGGAACGTTGTAGTTTTTGGTTATTTTTTTGTTATTTTCTTTGAACCTCTCTACGTGACTTTATCGAAAGACCCAAAGAATATTAATTCCTGCAGTTACGAAAGCTTTAAGTCAAGGTTTAACCAAAAAAGCAAAATCAAAAATGTTTTAGGCTTTTCGAACTTTCAGGATGAACACCCCAAATTTAGACCAGATTTAACACCCAAGACACACAACTCGGTGTGTATCTCTGTTCGGAGGGTCTGCGTGGGGCCAGGCATCGCATAGGATCAACGCTGTCCCTGCCTGCAGGTAGACGAGGACGAGCACCATTGTGTGCTGCCTCGCCATGTGTCCCCTGTAGTTGTGTGTATGTGTGTATGTGTGTGTATGTCTTCCACTCCGGTGGTGGGTGTACACCCAGGATCCCATTCCAACCAAAAGTGGCCTGGTCTCAGTTAGCTGATGAAAGTTGCAAGCAAGAATTTCATCATCGCTTGCAGCTGGGGTTGGCATCGTCCCCCACTCCACCTGATGTTGAGGGGAAATGGGCGAGGTTTAAGACTGTGACTCATGCAGCTGCAATGGCTGCTTTGGGTACGCGGTCCAGACCTCCCCAGAAACCCTGGCTGACAGAGGAGGTGTTCAGGTTAATTGAGAAAAAGCGTCAGGCCCACTCTCATCGCCTACAGCATCCCACGTCAGAGAATGAGGAGGTTTACCGCAGCCTTCGCTCGGAAGTTCGGAGAGCCGTAAGGCGCTGTAAGGATGGGTGGTGGTCGCGGGTTGCTGAGGAGATGGAGTCTGCCTCAGTGGCCCGTGATCACAAATCACTATTTAACTCCATCAAAAAAGTAACCTGCAGCGCCACACCTATTACCATCATTAGAGGAAAAAACGGTGATCCAATCTCCGACCCCCAGGAACAGGTTTGCAGATTTGCTGAGCATTTCTGTGAGGTCCTGGGGGAGGGAAATTCTCTCAGCCAGGAAAACATCATGGCACAAAGTGGTGATAACCCTGCTGAGGCTGCGGTGCCTCAAATATTGGAAGAGGTCACCCCCTGTGAGTGGCTGGCTGAGGTGCCAGCTGTTGAGGAAGTACTGAGGGCAATCCGGAGTCTGAGACCAGGGAAGGCATCGGGCAGAGATGATCTCCCAAGCGAAATGCTGAGGGAGGGTGGCGTTTGTGCACAGACTGCCCTATATGACATCATAACAACAGTCTGGACCACTGGACGGGTTCCGCAGGACTGGAAGGATGCCCTGGTGGTCCTCCTCTTTAAGAAGGGGGACCGTACCGACTGTAACAACTACAGGGGCATCTCACTCCTCAGTGTGCCGGGTAAGGTCCTGGCAAGGATTATTCAACATCGCCTTGCTAGGCACGCTGAGGAGGGGCTTGCGGAGCCCCAATGCGGTTTCAGGAAAGGGCGGTTCTGCACAGATGCTATATTTTCTGTCCGTCTGCTACAGCAGAGGTGTAGGGAATTCCAAAAAGACCTACATCTCTGCTTTATTGACCTGGTCAAGGCCTATGATACCATCAGTAGGACTGGGCTCTGGGTTGTTCTTCGTGCTTTCGGAGTCCCTGACCCTCTGCTCACGATCATTAAGGACCTTCATGATGGTGAGCGGGCCCGGGTAAAACTACGTGGCCGGGAGTCGGAGCCTTTCCCTGTACACCTTGGGGTGCGACAGGGATGTCCTCTGGCTCCCACATTATTTAACATCTATTTTGACCGCGTAGTTCGTGAAGCCTTCAATAGCTGTACCGGGGGAATTTCCATTTGGTACAGATATAATGGGAGGCT